AGCAGACGAGCAACGCGCTGGATATGCCCCTTCCGAACCCATTGGACCTCGCACAGCTCGATACAAAGTGGATGGACGAGATCATCGCGAAAAATCAAGCGGAGCGGACAAAGTTGGAAGTCGAACTAAAGACTTATAGCAACAACATGATCAAGGAGAGCATTAGGGTATGTGCTTGCTTTCTCTGAGGTTTCTTTCTGAGACTGGACGAACGGTGAAGATGGCCCATCGCGATTTGGGTGACTTTTATAGGTCAACGGGGGACTATGCCACTTCGCTGAAACATTACACCAAGTCACGCGAGTTCTGCACTACCAGCCAGCATGTCCTCGACATGTGCCTTTCTATACTCGAGGTACGAGTCATTGATTCTACTTTTGGACTTGTATGCTGATTCTGCTCCCTTCAGCTCATGATCGAACAACGCAACTACTCATCTAACAACATACGTATTCAAAGCGGATGCAGCTCTCGACTCCGCCGCATCCGCCGCAGCCTCATCATCCAACAACGGCGGCGATTTGGCGATGGCCACCACCGCTGCCGGTGCAGCGAAGAAAAAGGGCACTCTTAGCAGTGGATCGTCAGCAGAAAGGGATACCTATCAATCCAAGCTAGACTTGGCGAGCGCACTGTCATATCTGGGGCAAGCGAACTACGAGAAGGCTGCACAGTGCTTTTTGAAGTTGAGCGCGGCGAAGGATTTGGGGGATTGGGCTGGCAAGGTTCGTTTGTCTGACTGGGTTATGAGCATCCTCTGACGTGGTGGATGTAGCTTATAGCCCCGGGCGATATCGCGATCTTTGGCACCCTCTGCGCTCTCGCCAGCTTCTCTCGTTCGGCGATCAAGAGCCGGGTCCTTGAGAACTCGATCTTTGGGGCTTATATTGAGCAGGAGCCGTATATTCGGGAGTTGATCGAAGCTTACATGAACAGCAACTTCAAGACTGTTCTGGAGCTTTTGTCGCGGTACTCCGTACGTCCGTCCTTCTTTTCTTGAAACGACCCTTTGACTTAGATGATATCTTAGACGCGTCACTACGTCGATATCCACCTCTGCCCGCATGTACATGACTTGACGAACCTCATTCGGAACTGGGCCATGGTGCTCTACTTCCAGCCCTTCGCCACCATCAAGCTCGAGCGGATGAGCGCTGCGTTTGGGTGGACCGTCGAGGAGGTCGAGCAGCAAGTCGTTGCATTGATACAGAGTGGGGCTATACAAGCCCGGGTTGATAGCCAGAACAAGGTGGGGTTTCTTTGCCCTCTGCGTTACCATCGGACCCACAAACCGACGCTCTTGGATAGAGCTTGCAAGCTAAGAAGACAGATTATCGTGCGGAGCTTTTTGCACGTACGATTAAAGCCGGGAAGAGTATGCAGGCGACGAATAGGAAGCTGCTTTTGTGTATGCGGTTGTACGTTGTTTGATTGTTTTGTTCTTGTTCTTCTGAGCCCTGATGTTTTGTCCATAGGCAACAAGCGGAGTTGATGATTAAGCCTCCCAAAGGAAACGCTCATCACAGCGCTTTGACTGATTTCTTGCAGAGCGGATTGTTTTCGCTGTGCATCCAAATTGTACTACATACATACTCTCTTGAATGCGCGTGTTCGAGCTTCGAACATCTTTGCGTGCAGAAAGTGATCACTCAGCACAGTGCTTTGATTGACTTCGTCCAGGGCAGTCAGGATTGAATGTTGTTGTGCATTCAAAATTGTGCTATGTACACCCACTTCAACACGCGTTAGAGCCTGTGCATACGGAATGGACCCCTTCCAGCTACACCCACTATCTTGCAGCAGGTTACCTTAGGGCCTAGCGGCAACCTGCAGCGGTGAACATACACGGCCCCATCACCTTTCATTTTCGTCCCTAGGCCGATGCAAAGCTTGTCAAGGCTATACCCCCAAACCACGCCATCTCAAGCACTGATCTTCCAAGTGGCGTTAGCGCCGGTTCACTTGCAACACCATTTCCGTCCTGCGGCTTTTCTCGTTCGACGGGGGTGGTGCGACATAGACACAACGTTTCTAAAGCTTCGACATTGAACATCATACCGGAATCTCGACCGAAGCACTGTCCCAGTTGTGCACCACCATACATGTTCACGAACCGAGCTGGCATCATCTTGTAGGCCTCCTCGAGTGTTGGCTCACGGTCATTTCTATATTCTTGATATCCAAGATCGTAGCTTCCTTTCTCGCCTCACGATCCCGAGGCCCTCTTCATCCCACTCCACAGATGCTCCAGCTTGGCGGACGACGTTCTATAAAGAGTGGTGGCAGGCAACGACCTCAAGAAAGAGGCTGCGGTCATTGTCGATCCAGTGTGGCCTCGCCGGCCCACTTTGGCGGACGATTTCACAGAAGTTCGATTGTTATTGGTAGAGCTGCTGGCGGAAACGATCAGGCTGTCGAGCTATCGGAGCGTTATGGATGGGAGATCAGCCTCTGGACTGGCCCCAAGTGCCGAAGAGCACGCAGGAGATGCGCTTGTGGTTTTGCACGGAAGAGGATGTGAGATTAGCGAATTTCGGTCAAGTGAAAACCTGGCTTATGAACTCGCGGGTCGAGCTGGTTAACGATTCACGACTCGAAAGATTCGGGAATCCTGTCGTATTGGATGGCGGTATTGAACGCAGAGGAGCTGGAGTCGGACCTGATCCGAACAGAATCCAGATCAAGCAGAATCGATGCGTGGCCTAATTCCTACTGGTAGTGTACTGGCTGTATGGCGGGATGGATCCAAGAAGTATTCATTTAAGCTACCCGCCAGGCAGTCTTCTTGCCCGCAATCTTTTGTAGACCTTTGTCAGTGGGTCAGGATCATCCGGTAAGAAGATATAGACGCACCCAAAGCTAGCCTTGCCGTTTGTTCCATTACTCCATTACCATAGTACGCAGGGATGTGGGATCCTTCAAAGTTACCCACCCCCCCCTACTCGCAAGAACGCCTGGGGTATCTAGCGCAAAAAACCTAAAACTTGAAAACAAACGTCAAGAACACCACCAACGTTGCAGATCCAGAAGAATAAGGCTCAACCAGATCTCGATTATCACAACACAAACGAGTACAACTGAGTCATTGTAGGGATACTTAGAGGCAACCCAGAAAGCCGCGGTTGGTGTTGGCGTAGAACAATCACGTCACACATTGATTGGGTTCACTCCTTTTTTTGTCAAAACTCTTCCAGACCAACTGCATCTCTCCTCCCTCTCACAACTCACCCACAATGGGTCCTCTTTCCCCTTCTTCCGCTTCCTCCTCATCTTTTTGAAGGGCAACACCTCCTCCTCCTAATGCCAATCCACTTCCTCCTCTCACTCCTCCTCATCGATACCAAACTACAACGCAGATCTGAAAGTCAAGAATTACCTCAACTCAAGCGAACCCGTCATTCCGAACCCATTCGACTTTTATCCGAGTTATAACCCCGGCGATAGGATCGGCGCAAAGTATGGCGCTGTTACGCTTTCGAAGAGCAGGATGCACTTGGGATGCACCTGGTCAGCGGTGCGAGGATTCAGAGGGTGTCGAATAAGGCGCTGGCGGGTCAGAGTGCTGCTACATATCTCTGTTCTTGGCGGTTCGGGTGTGTATCCTCTTTTTCCTTCCCCTTCCTCTTTCCACCCAGAAACTCACATACCACCGCCTATGCAGTGTCAGCATGCCACGGAGCAGGGGACGACCCTATCTCCCCTACATGCTGTCCATCCCGCTTCTTCCAGCGGCGGAACACCGTCTTTCCACACCCGACGACGGAATTGACGAATGGCGCCCTGCGACGCACGAGTTCGGGATACTTTGGGTATTGTAACTCGCACCATTCACCGGATCGGGCGGATTTGGTTATTATTGAGCTGGATACGGAGGATGAACCGTACGTTTTTTCTTTTCGTTTCTTCGCTCCTTTCTTTCTTTCGTTTCTTCCTTCATACCACCCTTTTCGCTACTGTTCGTTATCGACCGCCTTGCGCCCGCCCTTTTTATCACACACCTCATTGCCGCCTCATCGTCACCCCCGCCCATAATATGGACTTTCCCACACCAAGCAAGGGTAGCCGCCCACGAGGCCATCCTATCTTGCTCGTTTTCTCGATCATGTTCTCCCGTGGCTTCATACTTTTCACATCCTCCATTGACCTCTGCCATGTCTTCATTACGACTCTACCCTTTTCACATCTTCCATCAGCTTTGCCTTCAGCTTTGACGACCATTCTCCCTCATGCATAACCCAACTTCTTACCCATTTTTTTTTGCCCGGAGAGTTTCGCTTCCGGTGCCCTCCTTCTCCATCTCCCATTTCTTGAAAACACCCTGCGTCTTGAAGCCCCAACTTGAGCTTGACGATTGGGGTTTTCGTGTTGATTTCCCCACTTTCAATCTCATTACCCCCTCGCTCAAACATTTTCCCCGTTGTTGGTCGGGAGTTTATCTTTCTTTGAGCGCGACGAGCCTACCTTTTTATCTCTCATACTTCTGCTCGTTTTTTGGAAGACGTGGACCCTCTTTCTTCTTGTCGCGTTTTCATGCAGCTTCTCCTTCGATTTGCTCGTCCTTTTGATCCACTCTCGCCCACTCAGCTTCATCCTGTGCATATTTCTTTCTTTCTTTCTTGAAAGCTCCGGAAGGGGCGTCTTTCTTCTATTCATCGCGACCGAGGACTTTTGCCTCTCTTTCTTGTCATGCCTTGCTGGGGGTCGAGCTTGAGCTTGACGATGTGTTGATTTTTTTCGATTGTCAAATATCATCTCCCTTCGTTGAGGGTCGGGGGTGCTCGTGGATCCTTGTCCTTACGTTACATGACCTTACCTCCCTTCTTTTTCTCGTACTTTTGCTCGTTTTTGGCAGAAGTGTGACCCTCCTTCCTTTCTCTCTTTATGTCGCGTTTTCATGCGGCTTCTCCTTCGGTTTGGTCGCCCTCTTTATAACCTTCAGGTGTCCCCTAGTGATGTTTGGCGGGCAGCTGTGCACGTTTCTTTCTTTCTTTCTCACTTGTGTCTGAAAGCTCTGGCGGGATTGTCTTTCCTTTGCATCTATCGCGACCATATCTTTCTTGTCAGGTCTTCTTTTCCTCCCCGCTTGCCACTTCTATCCTTTTCCCGAAAGTTGGGGTCCACCTTCTGTCATCCAATTGTGACTCCCTTTTTGTTTGGATTGAATGCTTTTCGTTCATCTTCTGCGTTTTATCGTGCCCCCCATATTCTCGGGTTCACCCCTTTAGTTCTTCTGGTCTTTTATGTCAGGTTTCTCCTGTCCCTCTGCCTCCCCACTTCATCCTTCAACTTCTTTTAGTTAAACCTTCCTTTTAACGTTCAATTCTCCTCTTCTCCCTTCTCCCTTGAGCATCGAGACTAACCTATCCCACAGGAACCAAGACATGATGGACCACTTCGAAATCCTTATCCGCTCCATCCTCATCAGGCCTGACAAACCCGCCGTCCTCCTCCTCGGCCATTTCTCACCACAAACACACCAAACACACGGTTTTGCAGGACCAGACCACTGGCACAACATCGTCGCGCAATTCTATGACGTCCCAGACGTCTCTGTCAAATCTGCCCTCTTCCCCGATTACATGCGTGACCCAAAGTCTATCCAAAAGTACTTTGGCGATCCTGTCCTTGCCAGCCCTGCGGGGCATGAACTTATCTCGGAGATACTCGTGGCGTACTTCCAGAGTCAGATATGTACGGCGTGGAGCGTGGCTACTGGATCATCGTACGAAGCCGTCCCAGTGCACACTGCAGGGTCCGAAGGAGGCGCAGGGGATGCCCATGGGCTCTTTGGGGGCATCGGTCAGCGCCCTGGAGTCCCCGAGCCAGAAAAAGGTGATCTAGCCGTTGACGCAGCTGTGGAAAAGAAGATGGCAGCATCTGCAGCTGCAGCAGCTATGAAAGACCGGGGGGATTCGTCTTCCTCCTCCTCCTCTTCCCCCCAACTTCTCACCGTACCTTCTGGCCGAATCAACACTCAACCAAACGGGAACCGTCCTTTCGAAGAGATCGCATTTCCGCAAACGACCTCATCAACCCCTTACCACCGTCGTTATTCTACGGCTCAGGGCGGTATGCTCACCATCCGAGCGGGAGCGGGGGCGATGCCCTGATTACGGCTGCGCATTATTGGCATTCTGCGCTTCCGACGAGCAAGTTGAGGATACCGATACAGGTTGGTGGCGGGGATATTGGGGTGTATTATTTGAGGGAGCCGGTTGGGGTTGTTGGGGAGGGGAGTTCGGTTGAGTGTTAGGTTGATGATAACTATGCGGGTGCGAAGGTTATTGAGAATGCGGCGGATATTGGGGACGCTATACCTACGTACGTTGCCCTTTCCTTCTTTTCCTTCTTATTCTTCTACCCCGCGCACCTGTAGGTTGAAGATGATCGACCATTATGTTGGACGA